CCCCCCCCCCAGCCCAGCAGGCGATCTGCCCCAGCAGGTGCTCCGGGAAGGCTGGCCCGGCGACAGCATGAATGAGCACGTGGGGGCTGGGCCCAGGCCTTGTCCCGGGAGGCCTGGCTCTGGGTGCCGGCTCCGGGCACACGGCTGCCGTGACCTGTAATTAACCCGCCGGGCCGCGCAGGCGGGTGGCTCTCGGTGCCCACATGATACTCGCATCAGCCTCGATGGTGCACGTGCCGCAACCTGAAACCCGAGCCACAGCTGGAACCAGTTGCACAGAGAACGGAGTTGTCACAACAGGAAGGGCGGGTTCAGGAGGGACAGTGGGAGGAGGCGGGCCCGCTCCCAGCACCAGGCCACCCGGGAGCTGCCGGGACCCAGAGGCCTAGAGGGTGGGTACCGGGACTTGGGCTGCTCCCCTGACCTTGGACTTAACCTGCAAGGAGGGTTGTTTGCACACGGCCTTTGGGGACCTGCCTGTCCTCCACCTCAGTCCCCATCCCCTACCCCTCAAATGTGACCTTCCGAGTCCTGCTTATCTTCTTTTTAAAAAAAATATGTTTTTATTGATTTCAGAGAGGAAGGGAGAGGGAGAGAGAGATGGAGACATCAATGATGAGAGGCAATCATTGAGGCTGCCTCCTGCACGCCCCTCACTGGGGATCGAGCCCACAACCCGGGCAGGTGCCCTGTGCTTTTTAACTGTGAACCTGCCGACCGGCAGCTCTGGCTGGATCTATATCTGCTGACCGGACCCAGAGGGGAGAGAAAATGGGTGGCCACGGGCAGTCCACGGGCAGAGGAGTTGCTTGAACTTCTTTTTGTTTACTTTTTGTTAATCTCACCCGAGGATATTTTTTCTAGAGATAGTGGAAGGAAGGTGGTGAGACAGAGAGAGAGAAAGATCAATTAGTTGCCTCCTGCAGGCTTTCCGACCAGAGCCAGGGACTGAGCCTGCGACTGGCATCGAACCTGGGACCCTTCAGTCTGCAGGCTGGCCCTCTATCCACTGAGCCACACCAGCCAGGGCAGGAGTTGCTTGAAGTTGCTGTGGGCTGTTTGATTGGAGGGCGGGTCTGATGGGTCTCAGACTTGGTTGGAGGCTCCTGCAGAGGGAGGGGGACAGGGAGTGAGGCCGGCACGGAATGGCCGGGAGGAGCAGCGGCCGTGGGAGTGGGAACGCAGCCGCAGGGCGGGGCGGCCGGTGAGGCGGAGAGAAGGTGCCCACATTCCTCCGTGTGTGATAATGCCCGTGAGCTGAGGCCCAGCGCCCCTGAAACTCATCCTCGGAACAGCACCCTTAGCTCTGCCCCTCTCGGGGCGGGGAGTGCAGGGTGAGGGAGAGAGAGAGAGAGACATCGATGATGAGGGAGAATCATGGATCGGCTGCCTCCTGCACGCCCCACACTGGGGATCGAGCCCACAACCCAGGCCTGTGCCCTGACCGGAAATCAAACCCTGACCTCCTGGTTCATAGGTCGACGCTCAACCACTGAGCCACACTGGCCGGGCTGTGCTGCTTGTCTTTGAGGATGTGCTTTTGTCAGGAGCCCCAGGGCCCCCCAGGGCGCTGCTGGCCCCTCTCAGCCCTGCTCTCAGCTGCCTCCTGGGCGCCCACAATGGGCTACTCAGAGGTGGGGTCTGTGCACTTTCCATTCAGGCCTAGGTGCCTGGCGTCATGTGTGTCAGAGGGAGCCACCGAGGAGGGCCTCAGGGGAGGAGGGCCTCAGGGGAGGAGGGTCTCAGGGGAGGAGGGTCTCAGGGGAGGAGGGTCTCAGGGGAGGAGGGTCTCAGGGGAGGAGGGTCTCAGGGGAGGAGGGTCTCAGGGGAGGAGGGTCTCAGGGGAGGAGGGTCTCAGGGGAGGAGGGTCTCAGGGGAGGAGGGTCTCAGGGGAGGAGGGTCTCAGGGGAGGAGGGTCTCAGGGGAGGAGGGTCTCAGGGGAGGAGGGTCTCAGGGGAGGAGGGTCTCAGGGGAGGAGGGTCTCAGGGGAGGAGGGTCTCAGGGGAGGAGGGTCTCAGGGGAGGAGGGTCTCAGGGGAGGAGGGTCTCAGGGGAGGAGGGTCTCAGGGGAGGAGGGTCTCAGGGGAGGAGGGTCTCAGGGGAGGAGGGTCTCAGGGGAGGAGGGTCTCAGGGGAGGAGGGTCTCAGGGGAGGAGGGTCTCAGGGGAGGAGGGTCTCAGGGGAGGAGGGTCTCAGGGGAGGAGGGTCTCAGGGGAGGAGGGTCTCAGGGGAGGAGGGTCTCAGGGGAGGAGGGTCTCAGGGGAGGAGGGTCTCAGGGGAGGAGGGTCTCAGGGGAGGAGGGTCTCAGGGGAGGAGGGTCTCAGGGGAGGAGGGTCTCAGGGGAGGAGGGTCTCAGGGGAGGAGGGTCTCAGGGGAGGAGGGTCTCAGGGGAGGAGGGTCTCAGGGGAGGAGGGTCTCAGGGGAGGAGGGTCTCAGGGGAGGAGGGTCTCAGGGGAGGAGGGTCTCAGGGGAGGAGGGTCTCAGGGGAGGAGGGTCTCAGGGGAGGAGGGTCTCAGGGGAGGAGGGTCTCAGGGGAGGAGGGTCTCAGGGGAGGAGGGTCTCAGGGGAGGAGGGTCTCAGGGGAGGAGGGTCTCAGGGGAGGAGGGTCTCAGGGGAGGAGGGTCTCAGGGGAGGAGGGTCTCAGGGGAGGAGGGTCTCAGGGGAGGAGGGTCTCAGGGGAGGAGGGTCTCAGGGGAGGAGGGTCTCAGGGGAGGAGGGTCTCAGGGGAGGAGGGTCTCAGGGGAGGAGGGTCTCAGGGGAGGAGGGTCTCAGGGGAGGAGGGTCTCAGGGGAGGAGGGTCTCAGGGGAGGAGGGTCTCAGGGGAGGAGGGTCTCAGGGGAGGAGGGTCTCAGGGGAGGAGGGTCTCAGGGGAGGAGGGTCTCAGGGGAGGAGGGTCTCAGGGGAGGAGGGTCTCAGGGGAGGAGGGTCTCAGGGGAGGAGGGTCTCAGGGGAGGAGGGTCTCAGGGGAGGAGGGTCTCAGGGGAGGAGGGTCTCAGGGGAGGAGGGTCTCAGGGGAGGAGGGTCTCAGGGGAGGAGGGTCTCAGGGGAGGAGGGTCTCAGGGGAGGAGGGTCTCAGGGGAGGAGGGTCTCAGGGGAGGAGGGTCTCAGGGGAGGAGGGTCTCAGGGGAGGAGGGTCTCAGGGGAGGAGGGTCTCAGGGGAGGAGGGTCTCAGGGGAGGAGGGTCTCAGGGGAGGAGGGTCTCAGGGGAGGAGGGTCTCAGGGGAGGAGGGTCTCAGGGGAGGAGGGTCTCAGGGGAGGAGGGTCTCAGGGGAGGAGGGTCTCAGGGGAGGAGGGTCTCAGGGGAGGAGGGTCTCAGGGGAGGAGGGTCTCAGGGGAGGAGGGTCTCAGGGGAGGAGGGTCTCAGGGGAGGAGGGTCTCAGGGGAGGAGGGTCTCAGGGGAGGAGGGTCTCAGGGGAGGAGGGTCTCAGGGGAGGAGGGTCTCAGGGGAGGAGGGTCTCAGGGGAGGAGGGTCTCAGGGGAGGAGGGTCTCAGGGGAGGAGGGTCTCAGGGGAGGAGGGTCTCAGGGGAGGAGGGTCTCAGGGGAGGAGGGTCTCAGGGGAGGAGGGTCTCAGGGGAGGAGGGTCTCAGGGGAGGAGGGTCTCAGGGGAGGAGGGTCTCAGGGGAGGAGGGTCTCAGGGGAGGAGGGTCTCAGGGGAGGAGGGTCTCAGGGGAGGAGGGTCTCAGGGGAGGAGGGTCTCAGGGGAGGAGGGTCTCAGGGGAGGAGGGTCTCAGGGGAGGAGGGTCTCAGGGGAGGAGGGTCTCAGGGGAGGAGGGTCTCAGGGGAGGAGGGTCTCAGGGGAGGAGGGTCTCAGGGGAGGAGGGTCTCAGGGGAGGAGGGTCTCAGGGGAGGAGGGTCTCAGGGGAGGAGGGTCTCAGGGGAGGAGGGTCTCAGGGGAGGAGGGTCTCAGGGGAGGAGGGTCTCAGGGGAGGAGGGTCTCAGGGGAGGAGGGTCTCAGGGGAGGAGGGTCTCAGGGGAGGAGGGTCTCAGGGGAGGAGGGTCTCAGGGGAGGAGGGTCTCAGGGGAGGAGGGTCTCAGGGGAGGAGGGTCTCAGGGGAGGAGGGTCTCAGGGGAGGAGGGTCTCAGGGGAGGAGGGTCTCAGGGGAGGAGGGTCTCAGGGGAGGAGGGTCTCAGGGGAGGAGGGTCTCAGGGGAGGAGGGTCTCAGGGGAGGAGGGTCTCAGGGGAGGAGGGTCTCAGGGGAGGAGGGTCTCAGGGGAGGAGGGTCTCAGGGGAGGAGGGTCTCAGGGGAGGAGGGTCTCAGGGGAGGAGGGTCTCAGGGGAGGAGGGTCTCAGGGGAGGAGGGTCTCAGGGGAGGAGGGTCTCAGGGGAGGAGGGTCTCAGGGGAGGAGGGTCTCAGGGGAGGAGGGTCTCAGGGGAGGAGGGTCTCAGGGGAGGAGGGTCTGTGGGGAGGAGGGTCTCAGGGGAGGAGGGCCTCAGGGAAGGAGGGCAGCAAGTGTCTGGGCGGGCTCATCAGCAGTGAGGGGATAGCGCGAGGAGGTGGAGGTGGAGGGCGTGGGGACCGGACGGTGAGGGAGCTAGTGTGTCCACCGGGGCCTGCCAAGCCTGTCACTTGTCACTCTCCCCTCCACGGACCAGGAGGTGGCTCAGGTGGACATGTGCACGATGGCAAAGGCAGGACCAGCATCAGCAGAGTGTGCACCTACTGTGTGCCAGCACAGTGCAGAATGCTAGTCCATGGCCGCATTTAATCCCCCTCCCCCAAATAGGGGTGAGCCATTGTTCCCCTGTCCAGACAAAGACACTGAGGCCAAGAAATGAGATGACTTGCCCAAGTCCACAAAGTCTGTTAAAACCAAAAACAAAGCAAAATGATATAATAATAATAATAATAATAATAATAATACAGGGAACTTCTGGCCTGAATTTCCTAATTGCTGGAAACAACACCCTTTTTAACAAAAGGTGAAACTGGGTCTGTGTTGCTCAGCCTCTCCTCCTTTCTCCTCACACCAGGACGTGACTGGGACCCAATAGTTATTTCACCACAGAGGCGGGTGTCCGTGGGGGCCCGACCTCCACGCTGCTGCTTCCACTCCTGCTGTGATGGGGACGCTGGCTACACAAAACCCTGGGCTCTGGGTGAGGAGAGGGCCCGCGGCCATCTCACCTGGAAGCCCCCCCCCCAGCCCCCAGCGAGGCATGGACGCCCCTCCCCCACCCAGGCAGCCCTTGTCCAGGTTTCCCAGATGGTGACTTACGTCAGTCAGACACTCACAAGGACAAGGTCCCTCCTGGTCAGCAGGACCTTGGGAAACAGCTGGTCTGGGGTCCAAGTGCAGCCCTTGATGGCTTCCCGCTGCCTTCAATCGTGGTTTCAAAAGCTCTTTATCTTTCAGCCGCGGGACACTTTCCATGACGTCTTCCACGCAACCAATAGCAGCGTTTTACTGGTGTGTGTGTTCATTTCATAATGTAAGTATTGGTGCACAACTTCTTTTTTACAAGTTCAAGCTCATTAACATTTCTTTGTTATAAACTGAACCAGTAAGAGCAATGTCACTTTTTTGATGAATGTACATTTTGAGACTGTTACAGGCGTTTTTTAAAAAGTTAGTTTCAGGCCTGGCCGGCTTGGCTCAGTGGATGGAGCGTCGGCCTGCAGACTGAAGGGTCCCAGGTTCGATTCCGGTCAAGGGCATGTACCTTGGTTACGGGCACATCCCCAGTGGGGGGTGTGCAGGAGGCAGCTGATCAATGTTTCTCTCTCATCGATGTTTCTAACTCTCTATCCCTCTCCCTTTCTCTGTGTAAAAAAATCAATAAAATATATTTTTAATAAATAAATAAAATTAGTTTCAGCATCTAGTATTATTTTGTATCAAGGAAATCTGGATTCCCAGGACTAGTGGCATATGATAACACATATCTCGTTTTAGGATCACAGGATGACCTTCAATTTATCAGAGCCGGGAGCCGATAAAGGGTGAGATGAGACTTAGCATCAGAATGGAGTCGCCGGTGGTGGCTCCCAGGACCTCCTCCTGACTCTCCAGGGCACAAGGAAGGAGTTCCTAAGGAAGTCTCTATCTTCACAGGGTAGAAAATACTTTACAATGTATCGCATAAAGGCTGGGCATTGGCAGTCTTCATTCAAAGTTTCAAACAATCACTTTAATGTATCACTTTCGTCGTTGACACTTGTTCCACTTTGGGACCAATGGCAACACTGTAACACTAAGCGAGCTTTCCCACTTGGTGAAGGTGAGCCGGAGCATCTGTCAGGAGCAGTGCTTGCAGAATGCCCGAGGCGCGAGGGCCCGGGAGGAACTTGTGGAAGACGGGGTGCTCCCCACGTGGGGTGTCTTGGAGGAGCCCAGTTTGGGAAACGACGTGACCATATGCCCCTGACGTTGGGTGGGAGCAGGTTCCAGGCACATGTGTCCGGCCCAGTGGCCCTGGGTGGGATGAGGCCTGGCTGGTGTGGCACAGTGTGGGGCCGTGTGCTGGCTGGTTTTCTGTGAGCGGACCTGCGCAGGCCAGAATGGAACGAAACAGAACAAAGCAAGAGAGGCCAGGGCAACTGCTTCCGAATCGATGACACATTTGCAAGGAATTCAGGGGAAAGGTTCATTCCGGGTGTATCTAGAGATGTGTGCCTTTGGCCTCCACGGTTAACACTTTGGTGTCTGTGAAGTATCAATGATGCGCAGCACTTGTTCTTTGGTCTTTGTTCTTTTTTAATCACAATTTTTAAAAAATTTACAAAATGTGTATGAGCCCTCGGACACACGCAACAACCACAGGCTGGGCCTGTGATCTCAAGAATCCGCATACTTTCCCTAAGCACTCGATTCTGCGATGATTCCCATTTTACCGTTGAGAGAATTGAGGCCTGAGGATGAAGCAACTTGCCAGCATTGCACAGCTGCTTGCTGCTCAGCTGCCTCCCCCACCGTGTTCCCCCCAGCTGCCCCTCAGGTCTGCAGCACTCCGGCCGCCCTGCCTCGGTGGGAGGTCTCGCCTACCTGTTATGTCTCTTCTAGACTCTGCCCTGCAGGGTCTTCCCAGGAGCACCAGCAGGACCCGGATTCATCCCTCCCTGAACCCTCGCCGACACCCCCTGCCTTGCACATTGGAATTTATCGAGTGGATATCTGGAACAAAGTTAGATCTTTGTTTTCCTTCCTTCCTTCCTTCCTTCCTTCCTTCCTTCCTTCCTTCCTTCCTTCCTCCTTAAAATATATTTTTATTGATTTCAGAGAGGAAGGGAGAGGAAAGAATAGAGAGAAACATTAGTGATGAGAGAGAATAATTGATTAGCTGCCTCCTGCACACCCCCCACTGGGGATCAAGCCTGCAACCCCGGCCTGTGCCCCTGACTGAAATCAAACCTAGGACCCTTCAGTCCGCAGGCTGATGCTCTATCCACTGAGCCAAACCAGCCAGGGCAGATCTTTGTTTTCTTGAGAGAAGCATGTGTAGCACTGTACAAGGATACAGTATTTTACCAGCAGTACAACTATGTCTGGATGTTTTTATTCTTTTGAGGATGTTTTGTTCTCTGTGAAAGTATGCTTTAAGCTGGGCTGCTTGTCCTGGCTGGTTAGTGGGAAATGGGTAATAAAAGACTAACCCGGCAGCCTCGGTTCCAGACCCAGGTGATGGACACGTTTCGTGGGAAAGAGGGGGCAGGATGGCAGTTGACAAAGGGTGGCCTCAGGTTAACTGCCCAGATAATGAGCACGCGCCTGCTGGGCCTGCGCTCCCAGAGTGGCCCTCCCCGCTCCCACCTGTTGTGCCCCACGGGCTCCTCACCCCAACCCTGTGAGGAGGGCTGTGCCATTATCCCTGTGTCACCGATGGACACAGAGGTGCATCGACTGGGTAGTGACCTCTTGGGCCAGGAGGTCAAAGGCTCCGGAGGTGCCTTGTGATGCTGGGCAGTGCCGGGCTCTGCAGGGACTGCTGGGAGCCTGGCAGTTCCAG